AGATCATACTGTTACCCCCCTGGAATAATATTATTTACCACCCTGTATAATCGAACTGAACCGTCACATGAGAATCATAAGTTTTCGTGCACCATTCTATATGATATACTTCTCGATAATATATTTCTTGTAAATATTTCGAGAAATAACGACCTTACTTTAAGAGAGGTCTACCTGACAGTAGTCTGACCAAGATCTGACCAGCCATACACGGCTGGATCTCAAGATCTCAATGTTTTGCAGTGTTGCATCAAACACTGATGGTAATTATACTAATTAAATATTGATGATATAATGCACGAAAGAAAAAAAAAATTATGGATACGATGAGACCTAGACTTGAATCGCGGTTTCAGAATGTGTCGGATGTGACGTACGCTTGCTGGAGAAAATGTGCCGCAACGAGCACCTCGTGTCGTGCTTGAATGTGTCGTGGAATGTGTTGCGAATCACGACACATGCGACATATTTTAACTTAGAGTGTAACTCTATCCTGTAAGTCTTCTTCATACAGTTCTTGCACGAACTGTACCTTGTACGGTTTTAACGAAAGATTTTGGGCCATAATTCGGTACGCAGTTGTTGGTGCAATGGAACAGACTGTTGCAACAGTTCGAACACTCGATTGTGGTTCATCCTGAATAAAATTGTGAATTTCGTCGATTTTTTTCTTCAGTAATTGTGTGTGGTCTTCCTGAACGTTGTCGATATTTCACTGTGCCAGTTTCACAGAAGCGTTCAAAAGTATCTCTGATGCAATCCACACCGGGTGTTTGTTCGCCAAATTCGACTTGCAATTTCCGTTTAACAACAGCAGACGATTCAAATTTGACCATTAACAGAACAACTTTTATTCTAATATTTTTAGGAACAGGCATTTATCTGAAAATATACAGAATAAAACTTCAAGAGACATACTATCATTATAGGGAAAAAAATATTGAGCTCGTTCAGACTGATTAAAAAAATATTCAAGTTTTCTTTCACGGGGGACTTATGGAACACCCTGTAGATTTGATTATTTCGAATACAAAAAGAAAATTCAATATCGAATTAAAATTGATTTAGATATCCGAATGATGAGAACACGTTTAATATCGATCAACAATTTCTCGTTGGTCGCGCTCTTCTCATCTCGCCGAATTTGAAAACGGTGAGAAAAACAGATTTCAGAAAAAAATTCATTTGATCGTATACTTAGTTAGCAAAAACTGTACACGCTTATATACCACAAGATATTTGGTACGAATTTCCGTCTGGTGTCAAATTGACATCGGTCGGCTTGTTTATGGATCTCGATGCACCATTTGAGAAAATAAATGTTCATGTACGAGGTGGCAGTATTATTCCGATGCAAGTGCCCGGTCCAAATCTGATGATCGGTCGTGGCAATCCGTTTACATTACTTGTCGCTCAATCTGCATCGAACAATGCCACTGGAAATCTATTCTGGGACGATGGTGATTCAATAGGTATGATTGTTTCTGCTTTTTTTTTGTACTATATGGTGTAAATAAATGAGATTCTTTCGTTTAGATTCGATAGAAACAAAGACGTACAATTATTTTGAATTTACTCTGAACGCTTCGGTAAGAAAAAAACCGTTTTGTTTGCATAACATTCTATCAATAAATCTCTAGAATATCCTAACGATAAATGCCACTGTGACAAATTATAAAGATTCACCGATGCGTTTGGATACGGTGAAAATTCTCGCCGTTAGCAAACCGATCGCCAGTGTAACTGTCAATGGAAAACAACATTCCGATTTCTTCTACAACGTTCCGAACCAAGTATGTATCCGAATTGTATATATCAATCTTGATTATGTTGCTGTTTTTTTCCGCTTCTATCTTATAGATCCTACTTATCAATAGCCTTGATTTGGACATGCTAGCACGATCTAGTCACATAATTCAATGGACAACGACAATCTAACAGTGATTAGTCAACATCATTCTTTTCTCTTTATACTTGTGTGTGTTTTTTTCCCTTTGATTTTGGTGCTGTACCGGTGTCTTTCAACTTGGTTGTGGATGGGCTCATATTCACCCATATCCACATTCCACATCGAAGTTTGACAATTGTGTAGTTGAGTTTCGTGTAAACAAACAATTTATATTTAAAAACTAAAATCAATAGTTACGTAAACCTCCTCCTCAGACAAAAAAAAATCGCCTTTTTCTATTACCTCATTCTTCTCTGTTTTTGGGTGTGAGTGTGTGGGGTGTGGATGTGGGGGTGTGGATGTGGGGGTGTAGGTGTGAGTGGGATGTGGGGGTGTAGGTGTGAGTGGGATGTGGGGGTGTGAGTGTGGGTGGAGTGTGGATGTGAGTGTGTGGATGTGGGTGTGGGTGTGGATGTGGGTGTGGATGTGGGTGTGGATGTGGGTGTGGGTGTTGGTATGGGTGTGTGAGATGCGGGTAGGGATTTGGATATATTTTATGCCCACACCCACCCCACACCCACAACCACACCCACCCACACCGACACCGACACCCACACGTACAGTCATAAACAACTTAAATATGTTTGGATTACAGCGTCATATGTGTCCAGTGTAGAGGTGTAAGCCATCCAGCTGCACCGCCCGCCGCCGCCACGGAATCGTACATAGTTTTACGAATTTTTGAGCCGCCGCTGCTGTGAAAAAGTTAGTTCAGTCGTTGCGCCGCCGCCACTGACATCGATACATAAGCGATCGGTCATTTTCCCGCTTTTTAGAAGCAAAAACGTTTTGTTTTTGGTTTTTCTTGATTGTCAAAGCCGCCGCCGCTGCAGAAGAACATGAAGTATAGCAGCCGCCGCCGCCGCCATGGAAAAAAAATTTTACAATTAAAGCCGCCGCCTCCGATGTAGAAGAGCATAGAGTCTAGTACGCGCCGCCGCCATGGAAAAAAATTGAACCATTAAAACAGCCGCCGCCGTTTGACCCTTCGGCTTACATCTCTAGTTGAGTGACATGATATTTAAAAGACAACAATTGAGAATGAGGGACATTTTTACATAAAAGACCATTTCTTAAGAACATTTTCACTGTGGACATTTTTTCAAGGACGAAATCTGGAGGAAATTTTTTATAAGGACGAAAATCCGGGGACATTTCGTCAAGGACATTTTCTAAAGGACATTCTAACATGTATTCTTCGGGCATTAATTCCATATTCAATAAAGCATAATTAAAATAAAAAAGAACATTTTACTTTCGTGTTGCATTTTTTTTATTGCTGAAACTGATGCGATATATTTGAACTATGACAATTTAGTGATTCTTGCATCTTCTTTATTTTAGAGTGTACCTCAAAGAAAAATAAATAATATTTTTCTGGACTGGAAAAAGAAAACCCTGGCTTTTGACTTTTTTTATTTCATTTTCGTTCCTATCTTTTATATTTTAAATGCATCAAGAGTAGCAACATATATGTGCAAAGAACTGCTTGGATAAGAATGATAAGGAATAATAGAAAATATGAAAAAGAAAATTTTATGTTTGAAAGAACAACCTACCCGTAAGACAACAATCCTTACACAGTGTCGCCTGCAGCTCAAAGATATCAAACATACGAAGCAAATTCATGCTGATGACAGCGGATTAATTTGTTCGTATGAATTGACATGAGTATGTATACTTGAAAATTTATTAAAGCTTGATTTTTTCATTACTCTTTCGAGGTGGATTGACATAGTTATAAGTTTGTGGGGTTTGGATGAAGCACAGATCCACATCAATGACGTCTAATAACTGATTCTGAAAATAATATATTCTAGGTGAACAACGACAATCATCTCGATTAGATTGGGCTGAATCGTCATGTACAAGATGGATACAGATACCACTATTGTCATGGATAACGCCTATTCTCTCCTTAGGTAATAAACACACACTTGTGGAGAACGATCTTAACGATCTTGCTGTGAACGATAAATGTTCAGTCTTGTTACATAGAGTGAATCATGATCGTTCTCAATGGCAAGGTACATGGCATGTATACATGCGAACATTCTATAAGGATTTTATAATGAGCATATTGCTTGTTTTTCCACTTATTATGGCTCATATTGCACAGCCATTACTTATTCGTCAAATTATTCTCTATATAAAGGGTCAATCTGGGTTACCAGTTTACGTAGGTTATCTATTTGCTGTTGGTCTTTGCATTTCTGCAATTTTACAAGCCATTATTCATCAACAAATTCTCTTTCGAAATAGTCGCATGGGTATGCGTGTTCGCAATACATTATCATCTGCTATCTATAGGCACTTGTTAACCATCAATACTGCAGCTCTTCACAAGACTACTGCTGCTCAAATGGTCAATTTAGTAGCAAATGATGCCGGTAAATTTGAAGAATTAAGCATATTCGTACATACTTTAGTGCTAGCACTTTTGGAAGCTCTTGGAACGTTTGCTTTCGTTTGGTGGTACATTGGTTTACCGACAGTATTTGGCTATGCCGTACTGCTTTTATTAGTACCTATACAGTTTATTTTCAGTAGAAAATTCAGCCAATATCGAAAGACCACCATGGCATGTACAGACAAGCGTGTGCAAATGATCAATGAACTTGTAAATGGATGTCAAATTATTAAAATGTACAATTGGGAAAAAGCCATGGAACAACGAGTACGTGAAGCACGTCGTCGTGAACTTTTGAATATTTACAAAGCGAGTTGTTTGAGAGCTCTCAATACTGCTCTCTCCTTCGCAGCGTTACCTTTGATTTCTCTTGCTACATTCGGTGGTAGTTGGCTAATGGGCCGAACTTTACTTCCAGAAAACATATTCACAACATTAGCCTTCTTCGTCATGGTCCGAGTTCCAGTAACAGTTGGAATGCCGCAAGCCATCGAAAAATTTAGTGAAGCTCGTGTGTCTGCAAGACGAATTGATCAATTTATGCAACTCAATATATTGTCGAATAAACGTGAAAAAATGGAAAACGAAAACGAAGATTATGCAATCATCATGGAAGATGCATCATTTTCTTGGAACGATACTCCTTCATTGATCGCTGTCAATCTAAAAATCAGAAGTGGTAACTTGGTTGGCGTGAAAGGTGCCATTGGTAGTGGCAAGTCAACCTTACTCGCTGCTATTCTCAGTGAAATCAATCTTGTTAGTGGACAACTACGCCTAAAGGTAAATTCAATTTCATATGCTCCACAGTTAGCTTGGATATTTGCTGACACTATTCGAGCTAATATTCTTCTTGGCAAAGCGATGGATGAAGAGCGTTACAAGAATGTAATAAAGGCATGTTGCCTTGATATCGATCTACAAAATTTCGGTGAAATCGGTGATTTATTGATGATTGGTGACAAAGGTGTCAATTTGAGTGGAGGACAAAGAGCTCGAATATCGCTTGCTCGTGCTCTATACACGGATGCTGACTTATATTTACTCGACGATCCACTTGCTGCCGTTGATCCAAAGGTAGCAAAGAACATTTTTGATCAATGCATTGGTCCTCGTGGTCTCCTTCATGAAAAGACTCGAATATTAGTTACACACCAGACACATTTTTTAGTTGAAATAGATCAAATGCTTCTCATGACCAATGGTCACATCGAAGAATTACCGATTGGACAAGGGTCTGCAATAGACCCATCGAATGATATATCAGAAATAGAGTCATCAAACGACAACGAAACAGAGTGGCAATTTAACACTGCTGTAACTGATATGAATTCGATTGTCAAGAGTGAGATATCATCTGACGGTGCCATCAAGTGCAGTATTTGGCTAAAACTGTTTACTTCACCACCTTTACGATGGTTTGGTTTTGTTTTGATGATTATTTTTATGCTTGTTAATGAAGCTTCGTACGATTTTGCTAATGTTTGGCTTGCTCTGTGGTCTGGTAAAAATGAAAAAGAACAACGGTCATTGTTTTATGCTTATGTCTATGCTGGAGTTATATGTTTTACATTGATCGTTGCAGTAATACGTGCAGGCTATATTTTCTATATTATGTTGCGCGGTTCGACCTATTTTCACAATCGAATGCTCAAAGGTATGCTGTATACTTCGTTACGGTTCTTTGAAAGTAATCCAAGTGGACGAATATTGAATCGAGCAAGTAAAGATCAACAAGTATTAGATCAAGCGTTACCTCTAGCTTTAGTTGATATGATGCAATATTTACTAATGACGTTTGGTTCTATCGCAATCATTGGAAAGAATAACCCATGGGTACTTTTAATTCTCATTCCTTTAATTCCTACAGTCTTATGGCTCCGTCGATTTTACATGTGTTCAAGTAGACAACTTAAACGACTAGAAAGTGTAACGCGTAGTCCTGTTTATGCATTGTTCTCATCATCATTAGATGGACTCACTAGTATTCGTGCGTTTAATGTTCAAGAACAATTTTTAAATATGTTTATCGAACGAATCGATACCAATTCAAGAGCTTACTTCTTACTCTTTGCCACTGCACGTTGGTTCGGTTTACGACTCGACATTGTGGCATCCTTACTCACATTGATTACTGCTCTTCTTGCAGTAGTTTTGCGCCATCAAATCGATCCATCGGCGGCAGCACTTAGTATCAGTTATTGTATTACTTTAACAGGTCTCTTTCAATGGGCTATACGACAATCAACCGAAGCTGAAAATTTCATGACTAGTGCAGAACGTATTCATGAATATGGTCAACTAGTACCAGAGAGCCACCAGAACACTAACGAGAGTAATGTTCTCATTCAACCAGCAAAGGATTGGCCTTCTCGTGGTGTTATCGAATTTAAGGACTACACTTTTCGCTATCGGCCAGAGCTCGATCCTGTACTCAAAAATCTTAATTTACTAATTAAATCAAAGGAAAAAATTGGCATTATTGGTCGGACAGGTATGATTGTCTCAATTTTGAAGATATAAATGAGAAGTATTCTTAACGAGAAGGTTGGAAATCAGTCAAAAATGGATAAGTATAGAAAGGAAATAAATATTGCTACTAATGTTTTCTCGTATTCCAAAAAAATATCCAAAAGTTGAAAGCAATTCTCTTACGTTTACATTTCTCATTATAGAATAAGTGAAAAATGAGTAATCGAATAGAAAGTACACGTATATGAGATTAATTCTATCAGAAACTGATTTCAGACATGTAAATGAAGTGATCCGTTGATGAGGGATCGTATTTTATGAATGGAGCCACAGAACGTGAAATATTGCAATGTGTGATAAAATCCTCTTGGCGATATTCATTGATCAGTATCTGTTCTCTGTCTAGGCGCAGGAAAGTCATCACTTCTTCACGCTCTCTTTCGACTTGTCGATCAGTCAGCAATCAACGGCACCATACTCATTGACGATATCGATATTGGACGACTTTCGCTCGATCATCTTCGTTCTCATCTAAGTGTTATTCCACAAGTACCCATACTCTTCTCTGGTACACTTCGATATAATATTGATCCATTTCACCAATTCTCAGATGAAGAATGTCTTACAGCACTTGAAGCTGTTCAACTCAAACAATTGGTGCGCAACCATCCTGATGGACTTCATTTGTTAGTGGCTGAATCTGGTACGAATTTGAGTGCTGGTGAACGCCAGCTGATTTGTGTAGCTCGAGCCATTCTAAAGAAGAGTCACATATTGCTGATTGATGAGGCTACAGCAAATGTTGACCATGCTACCGATATGTTGATTCAAGAGGTGATTGCTGACAAGTTTCGTGATCGCACCATATTGACGATTGCACATCGGTTTAATACAGTTGAAAATAGTGATCGTATTATTATGTTACAACAGGGAGAGATGGCCTACTTCGAAGTGCCTACTAATATTAATCTAAATTAATGCGATCGTGCAAGAACATGTACCTCTATTAGCTATATATGATTGACTATTGTCTTGAACGAGAGTTATTCTTTGAGACATTTTACCTTTTCTTGATCGAAACAGCATCATTAAGGTAAGCATTCATCTAGGCATTTTTGCTTCAATTTGAATAGGTCGTTGCTTTGATATAAAAAGAATCTTTCAGACACAAAATAAAAGATTTACGTTCGTTTGTACGGTAAAGACCTTTTAATATAAATAAGAGAATAATAGACACCGTTTTTATCATTTTATTATTTTATAAAAATAAGAGACGTTTCGTTGTGAACTCATCACATCATCAGTCAAGAAATACAATGGCAGAACAGGATAAGAAAGAATATATAGGTAAATAATACAAAGAGAGTAAAGGAACAAAGAACAAAGACACACATTAAAAGAAAAAGGTTTGATGTGGGTGTTGGTGTGGTTTGGATGGGTGTGGGTGTGGTGTGGGTGGGTGTGAAGTGTGGGGTATGGGTGGGTGCGGGTGTGAGTGACTATGTAAGTGTGGTTGTGGGTGGGTGTGGTGTGGGTGTGAGGTGTGGGGTATGGGTGGGTGTGGGTGTGAGTGACTATGTGAGTGTGGTTGTGGGTGGGTGCGGCTATGGGTAGGTGTGTGGGTGGGCGTGAATGTGGGTGGGTATGGGTTGTGTGTCTTGGTTTCATTTATACCGACAGCCACACACCCGCACCCACACCCTTACGATAAACCCTCGACATGTGATATCTCATCAGTGCGACAGAACCGTTTTTGTTACAAATTAAAAATGGGTTATTGTAGTTTTCACGGAACCCATTTTCAGTCAGAACCCATAAAAGGTTCTGCAAAACTGCTTTTTTTTCTTTCAGAGTGAAATATTCAAGAAACAAAAAATACTTATTTAATCTGGCCCATCTATTATTATAAAAAGAAAGTAAAAGTTAGAAGATCCATTAGAATTTTATCGGATAAGATGTGAAGAAAAATATTAATGATAATACATGAACAAGATGTTTGTTTATCACTTTCTTGATTTCACTAGTCAAAGAAATGATCGTATTACAACCAGAAAGTGTAACCATCATATAGGCTGAAAGATTCCTAGAAAATACTAAAAGCTCAGTCAAAACGAATGTTTCTTTCTTAAGATATAAGAATATCAAATCTCACTTATATTTCATAAGAAGTTAGGAAAATTAAGTTTCACTAAAAATTGATCCTTTTGAAAGAAAAGCATTCATTTTGGTTGAAGCTCTTAGTATTTTCTAAGAAACAATAGATTTACATATGCATGAACTTTTAGGATAAAATACGATTCTTAGATGTTTCTGTGAATATCTTATTCAGATGCTGAAAACTCAACAAAATGAATATAATTCTCGAAATGAACATCAACGAGCGCCAATCCTTCTAAGTCTTTCTAGTCTCATCGATGCTCACCTATTAGTGAAAAATCAGCGTTAGATAGTTCGAGATATAGCACGTCATGTCGGATCCGAGACCAAAAAATCTATACAAATACTGTTGTTTACAATCCATCAAATTGTTGTGTTTTGAATGTACCATGTTCTATCCGAACAAAATAGATAATAATTGCGACGAATGTCATCGTATATTTTCATTTTTAATTCAAAAAAGAAATCAGCTTGATCTGAATCAATTAAGACTAAATGATCAACCAAAGGTTATATAATATCTTTCGATATACAGTATGTATTAAATTATTTGTTACATTTATTTCTTGAACGAACTCATTTCGGTTTTTGATGAATTTAAATGAGTAATTACAAAAATTCATTCTGTTCAATCCTAGTTTTACATCTTCTTGTCGAAGATCGTCATGAATATTTAAATGTCAATCGTTGAAAACATACAACTCAGCTGGAGTTTCAATATGGTTATTATTATATTACCTTCTATTTAGGAAATCCCTATAGGTATCATACTACTACAACAAAATAACTGAAAGGAATGTTTATTAGATATTGGAATATATCTGTTTTATATAAACATAAGTTTGAATATAATAAATAAAAGTTCAACATAAACTTCTAAACAAAGATTATTCTAGATTGTTTGTACAGTCTGTTTATTTGATGATTCATACGATGTCTATCTATTTCTTTTCTTTCGTTGAATTTTTGTTTTTATATTCTATCATATATGCACGTGTTATCGATTGAAAACAGTCTTCTTGATTACTGTTTAGATATTTTTATTTTTATTTTTATATTTGTATTGACATGAACCAAATCAAACGACAACACGATAATATTATTCATGATAATGATAATAATAAAAGCAAAAAATTACGAGGTAAAACTAATAAATTATTTATAAATTTATTGTAGTTTTTTTTTTCTACTTAGTATTAGCAATCGATACAAAAAAGTTAGTAAAGATTTTTATTTATTTTTTTTTAATCTACAGGATGATCGACAAGTCATCGAGCACTTTTTAGCTGGTAATAACTGTTCAACACCACATCTATTTTTATTTTGTTTCATTTAAATCTTCTACTTAAATATCCTGTTTACTTTCTGAAAAAAGTATCACGTGTTTACCGAGTGAAAAAATATTTAAGTCAAAGGTTCGAAAGAAATAAAATGAAATTAGATATGATTCTAAACAGTTGATAGCAAATAAAAAGTGCCCGGTGACTTTTGGACCACCCTATATTATTTATTTTTTTTATCATTTAATTAAGAACTTATTTTGAAAATTTATCAAATGATTTAATGTATGAAATATTTGATTATCTTAATGAATATGATATTTATGAATCATTTTATGATCTTAATCAACGCTTTAAAAGTCTTCTTATTGAATCAAATTTGCCAATTAAAATCAAATTTCCATTTATATCAAAATTAAATTTTTATCACTATTATCGTCGAATAATTATTCCAAATAAACATCGAATAACTTTATTTCATGTAACAAATCCATTTACGCTTGATCTTATTTTTTCATCATCATTTTTCATTTTAAAATTCATTCGACTTCAAACACTTATTCTTGATAATATGCAAGCAACAAATCTTGAAGATATGGTCGATTATACTATTCCTTATTATTTACCTAATCTCTCTTCATTAATCATTCATGTTGTTGATCAAATTCAAGTTCCAAATTATTTTTATAGTCAAATTTTTTCTTTACCATCTTTAAAGTATTGTAAAATTACATGTGAAACGAAAAAGGATTATGGATTATCGTTACTCATTGATGATGATGATGATGATAAATACAGTTCTATTGAAACTCTTATTATTAATGATCATATTTGGTTTGATGAAATAAATGATATTTTATCTTATTTTCCTAATCTTCATCGTTTATCAATTGACTATCTTGAGGGAATACGTAATAAACAACTAAAAATCGATTCAATTAATTTAATATCTTTAACATATGTTAATCTTAAAGTTCAATGTCTTGATTTTAATCAATTTGAACAGTTAATTATCGGTTATTTTCAACAAGTTGAATCTTTATATCTTTCATCAAGATATGATGTTGACTATTTAAATGCAAATCGATGGCAACAATTAATTTTAAATCATATGAAAAATTTAAAAATTTTTGATTTATATCATATAGATTTAAAACGATTTGATAATAATAATTCTCAAGAAATATATCATGATTTGATTGACAATTTTGTTTCTCCATTTTGGATTAAACGACAATGGTTTTTTACACATCATCATAAACAACAAGGAAATTGTCATACAGGATATTTTTATTCAACAAATCCATATAAGTATGAATATTAGATTTTAAGATTATTCGAAATTATTTTTTATCGTTTAGGAGAAAAGATTATACATTATATTATGGAACAGATGGAAATAATTGTCAACATTATCAACAAACAAATTTCAATAAAATTAATCATGTTCGTGTATGTGGTACACAATCTAAAAATAGTATTATTAATTATTTTCCAAATGTTACTGAACTTACTTTTGATCTATCTAATGATTTAATTACAATCAATCTTAATCGTATTTTTCCTTTATCAAAACTTACGAAATTAGTTATTGAATGTTATCAATTTCCTTTTAAACAATTAATCAAATTATTATATTCTACAGTGAATTTAAATTTATTAAAACTTCGTAGAACATCAATTAAGGATACTGAATATGAATTAATTCAACAAAGTGAATTTTTTCAAATGATATCAAATAAGAATATGATTAAAAATTTGGTTATTGATGAATGTTGTACATTAAAAAATATTCAATTATTTGTTGATTTATGTCCTCGATTACAACAACTAACAAGTGGAATGAATCGAAAAGAATTTTTATCGATTGTACGATTTTTATTATCAAAAAATGATAAAAATATTCAAAATTTATCTTTTTTATGTATTTTACATGCACCTAAAGTATCATTAAAGGAAATGAAAAAATTTATTAAATTAGAAAAAGTACTTGAGAATTATTCAATAAATCATGTTGATCGTAAATTGTATTTGTGGTGGTAAAATTTAGTTGTATTTAGAAAAATATCTTATCTTTGTAT